GGAGCCACGCGCTCCGACGCCGTCCGCGGGCCTCGGAGCCGCGCGCCGCCAGCCCTGGTGGGGACGGGGGTCGGGAAGGGAGTGCGCTGGCCAGGGCGGAGCACCCACTACCTGAGGATGTTGTGCGCCTCCATGCTCCGATTCTGGTTACTCGAGCACACCACCGCCACCCGCAGCGGCGACGACGGCATGGCGAAGGCCGCACCGTCTGCCGAACCCGCTCCCGGGCTCCCACCCAGCCGCGGGCTTCCGCGCGAGGAAGATGGCGGCGACCGGAAGTCCGCGATGCCGACGTCGCGCATGCGGACACCTCCCCTCGGCCCCGCCCCTCGGGCGCCTGTTTCTCCGAGGGAGCACTGGCGTGAGCAGCCTACGGCGTCGGGCAGCGGGTCTCACCCCGAGCGCGTTCCGGACATGCGCCACTAAGGCCGGCGCTCCCGACACCCAGGGCCGGCCGGCGGGTCGGCCTGTGACGTCACACTCCCGCGACGGCGCCAAGAGTGACGCGCGAGGCGCCACCCGCTCCCGAGACGTCAGCGGCTCTCGCGGCAGTCGTCGGGCGTGAAGAGTAGGCACCGCGCCTAGCGACACGTCGGGGGTTAGCGGTTCTGGGAGGGCTCCGCGCGTTCCCCTGGTCCCCATCGGGCCCTGCTTCTCACTCCTGTCTCCCTGCAGCCGCCAGTCCTAGGCCCCGGAGCTCGAGCGTCCTCACGTCGCCCCAGAGGCGCCTCCTCCGCCCTAGGATAACTTCCTCGTCCTCCAGGCCCCAGGCTGCCCCGCAGTCGCCCGTCGCTCCGCTCCGAGAACCCGTCCCGTTCGGAAGGCTGGCTTGTCGTCCCGGCAGAGGCTGGAGGGTCGCTTGAGGACAGGACTTTGGCACCCGAGCAACAGAGCGAGACCCCTGTGCTGGGAAGGAAGGAAGGAAAAGACCAGCTGATACAACTAACTGGAGGTGACCCCTGAAAGGTCCTGCTGGGAGGACTGACCGCCAGGGTCCTCGTGTTGGGTCTGTTGCAGACGCTGTGAGCTTGCTGGAGATTTGGGGACCTTTTGTTTGGGTAAAACCAGACCCGTCGCCAGGTGCGGTGGCTCACGCCTGTGAGACCACCGGCTTGGGAGGCTGAAGCAGGAGGATGGCGAGTTCAAAACCAGCCTCAGCAACGGCGAGGCGCTAAGCAACTCAGTGAGACTCCGTCTCTAAACAAAAAATAAAAAAGGTCTGGGGATGTGGCTCAGGGGTCGAGTGCCCCTGAGTTCAATCCCCAGTACCTCCACCACCACCACCCCCCAAAAAAACAGGTCAGAGTTCACCTGCTGCCAGCATTCAGCTGGAAGTGCGCAGTGAGTTGGTGTTTTGCTGTGGAAGTGCAACAGAACGAAGAGGGCCGAGGATTGGTGGTGATCTGCTGTAGCACAGACCTGGGTCAGACCGTCTGTGACAGCTAAAAGCGACTGCCGCGAAGAGACACCATGGCACTGAATCATGGACCCCAGTGGAATGCCGGAACTCCTGGGGCAAAACACATGCTTGAAACAAGGATGTGGAGGAGGTGGCCAGTTTCTTCATATCCAAGGAAGGTGGATTCGGAGGCACACACCGGTGGCAAACAGGCTCTCTGGAGAGGAGGCCAAGGAACTCAACCCCACGTGCTGGGGAACTAGCCTTGATAAAGAAGTTTCCCATAATTGCTCTTGGTGTTTTGGGGAAGAAAGTGTTTGAGAACCAGGTGTTCAAATTCTTTTTTTTTTTTTTTTCCTGGGGATAAACCCAGGGGTATTTGCCCAACCCTCATATTTTATTTTGATAGAGGTTCTCACTATGTCTCTGAGACTGGCCTCAATATTTTTTGCCATTTGCCTGCCCCACCCTTCCCAATCACTGGAATCACAAGCATGTGCCCTCATTATAATAAGTCGGGTGTCAAAAATGTTTTGTAATTTTTTAGTTGTAGATGAACACATTATTTTATTTATTTTTATATGGTGCTGAGAATCAAACACAGTACTTCACACATGCTATACAACAGCTCTACCACTGAACTAATTGCAGCCCCAGGTATTAAAAATCTTTTTTATTTTTAATGTTTTTATTTTTTGGTTTTCGGTGGACACAACATCTTTATTTTTATGTGATGCTGAGGATCGAACCCATCACCCTTCGAATGCCAGCCTAGAGCACTACTGCTTGAACCACATCCCCAGCCCGGTATTAAAAATCTTTAAGGACCTCCAGGGTACAGTTAGGGAAATGATATAAGGAAGCATGTGCTTTGTAGGATTTGGCAGGTTGAATGATGAATTAGGGCATCTTCCCCACCTTGCCATTTTATTTGAATATTTTGAATGCAGATCACAAAGTCTAAAGCATATCAGTCATTTATGGGTGGGAGTGTTACCTGCAGACCAACCAGGGCGCCCGCCTGGATCTCAGCTGGACAGATTCTGCTGCTCATCTTCATAGGAAATAAGCAAATGATTTTTAAAAAAAAAATAATAATCACTTAGTTCTTAATTAAGCAGGCAGGCAGCCGAATCCTGGCTGAACTGAAGACCATTGGAATCCTAGGGCCCCAGCATAGACAAGCCCCAGTCTTCTCTTTAGGATCCTTCCACAACCCACAGCATATGGCCTTCCCTTGTGACCATGAAGTACCAATAAAAGAACAAAGATACAGGAGGGGCTACTGGGCTAGGTGCCACATACCTGTTATCCCCAGTAACTCAGGAGGCTGAGGCAGGAGGATTGCAAGTTCAAAGCCAACCTGGGTAATTTAGTGAGACCCTCTCAAGACAGAAAAAGGGCTAAGGGTGTAGCTCTGGTAGAACACCCTTGGGATCAATCCCAGTACTGCAAAACAACACAGACAGGGCTGCCAGTGAAGATCCTTTGGTATACTTGATAAATCGAAGGATTGTTTGGTGGGTGATAAGAGATGATCTAGAGCTGGCCATGGTGGCACATATCTATAATCCCAGAGACTCAGGAGGCTAAAGCATGAAGATCACAAGTTCCAAGCTGACTTGGACAACTTAGACCCTGTCTCCTGAAAAAAAAAGGACTGGAGAAGTAGCTCTGTGGTAAACCTAGCTCCCTGGGTTCTTTCCCTAGTAGCCCACCCCCCATAAAAACCATCAGGGAAAAGGCTGAAATAAGCATGTCAATCCTTGACAAGTTTCTGAAAATATGTGTACGTCTGTGAAACAGTTTAAGAATGCATCTATTATTCTGGGAAAATCTCATCCTTCCTTGTAATTCTTGTGTTCCCTTTCATCCAACCCGCATGTCTCCCAGGCAACCACTGATCTTCCTGTTGCTGTAGGTTGCATTTTCTAGAAATATGTTTTTAATTTTTTTATTATTTTCAGTTATCATGACTGTAGCATGTATTTTGCCATATTTTGCATACATGGAATATAACCTTCCATTCTTGTGGTTATACATGATGTGGAGTTCCACTGGTCATGTAACCATATGTGAACATAAGGTAGTAATATCCAATTCTTTCTACTCTCTTTCCTATTCCCATCCTCCTCCCTTCCCTTCAGTCCCCTTTTTCTAATCCAGTGAACTTCTGTTTTTCCCTCTGCCCCCCCCCATTGTGTGTTAGCATCCCCTTCCTTATAAGAGAGAACATTCGGCCTTTGGTTTTTGGGGATTGGTTTATTTCACTTAGCATAACAGTCTCCAGTTCCATCCTTTTACTGGCAAATGCCATAATTTCATTATTCTCGTTTTTATAGAATTATTATAACATACTATGTATTCTTTTAGAGTAGGGTTATAGCTCAGTGTTAGAGGGCTTGCCTAGCATGCATGAGGCTCTGGGTTTGATCCCAATACCACCAAAAAAAAAAAGTGTGTTCTTTTCTCTGGTTTCTGACCCTCAGCAGTAGTACCCAGATCATCCGTTATCAATAGTTGGTTCATTGTCATTGCTGAGCCGTTTGCACCGTGTGGTGTGGACATACCCACTCTCCTGTTGGTGGGCATTTGCACTTTGTCTAGTATTTGGCTACCACAGATAGATATTTTATGACTGCAGTGAACACATATGTGTGTAAACACATGCTTCATTTCCCTGCATTAATACCTAGAAGTGGAATATTGAAGCATGGTGGTTAGTGCACATTTGATACTTTAAGAAACTGTTAAGAGGCTGGGAATGCAGCTCAGGGGTGGAGCACTCGCCTATCACATGTGAGGCAATGGGTCCAGTCCTCAGCACCACATAAAAATAAATAAAAGGTGTTGTGTCAATCTACAACTAAAAGCATTTTTTAATATTTTTTTAATTTTATGTGGACACAACATCTTTATTTTTTTTTTTATTTTTACATGGTGCTGAGAATCAAACCCAGTGCCTCACGCATGCTAGGCAAGCGCACTACCATTTGAGCCACATCCCCAGCCATAAAGACATTTTTAAAAAAGAAACTCTGGGGCTGGGATTGTGGCTCAATGGTACAGTGCTCACCTAGCATATGCAAGGCCCTGGGTTTGATCCTCAGCACCACATAAAAAAATAAAGATTGTGTCCAACTACAACTAAAAAATAAAAATTAAAAAAAAAAACTGCTAAGGGGCTAGAGATGCAGCTCGCCTGTTGAAGTCCCTGGATTAAATACCCAGTACTGTCAAAAAGAAAAAGTAATTATCAGCCGGGTACAATAGCACACACCTTTAATCCCAGCGGAGCGGGATTTTGCATGGGACAAAGGATTACAAGTTTGAGGCCACCTTCAAAACATTGAGAACCTGTCTCAAAAATGAGAAAGCTGGGTGTGGAGACTCATGCCTGCAATCCCAGCACCTTGGGAGACTGAGACAGAAGGATTGTGAGTTCAAAGCCAAACCTCAGCAGTGGCAAGGCACTCAGCAACTCAGTGAGACCCTGTCTCTAAATACAAATACAAAATAGGGCTGGGGATGTGGCTCAGTGTTTGAGTGCCCCTGAGTTCAATCCCTTTACCTAAATAAATAAATGAAGGGATGGAGGCTGGAGTTGTGGCTCAATGGTAGAGGGCTTCCCTGGCATGTGTGAGACCCTGGGTCCTTTCCTCAGCACCACATATAAATAAATAAAATAAAAGATCCATTGACAACTAAAAAGTATTTTTAAATGTTTATTTTTTAAGTTTTAGGTGGACACAGATATCTATTTTACATTTATGTGGTGCTGAGGATCAAACCAGTGCCTTGTGCATGCTAGGCGAGCACTCTACCACTGAGCCACAACCCCAGCCCCTAAAAAGTATTTTCTAAAAAATGAGGGGTGTGAGTTGGTAATAGAGCACT